ATATCTATCTATCTATCTTGCATATCTATCTATCTATCTTGCATATCTATCTATCTATCTTGCATATCTATCTTCTCTCTATTTATATTGTTCTTCATATGTTTTAGCCTCCAGTCCTCTAATCCTCTTTGTTGCTCTTCTCTGCACTCTTTCTAGAATCTCAGCATCTTTTCTACATCATGGTGACCAAAACTGGATGCATGATTCCAAGTGTGGCCTTACCAAGGCATTATAAAGTGGTATTAACACATCACATGATATTGACTCCACCCCTCTGTTTATGCAGCCTAAAACTGTATTCTAGGCTACATAATAGGTAGGTTTTCTTTCTTTCCCAGTCTAATGTGGAGCTTTTCCAGCCAAATACATATCAGGCCTAATACTGCTGATTTTTTTTTGAGATGAATCATCTCAAGGCTGCCTGACTGCTGCCACCTGCTGATCCCTACGAGGTTCTTAGGGAGGAAGAATCCTTGTCTAGCATAAATAAACCTTGCATAATCGCAGCCTTGAAATCCATGTGATCCCCCTCACACACCCCACCCTTAGGACAGTGCTGACAAACCTTTTCGGCAAGAGTGCCCAAACTAGAATGCATGTGAATGTGTGCATGCCGGGACACAGGAAACCTGAAGACCAGATGGCTGATGTGCATGTGGGCACCGGGCAGCTAGTCTTCGGGTTTCCGGCACGGACATGCGCCCCGGCCAGCTGGTCTTGGCAGGTGTTAGAGCACCGGAAACCTGAAGAACAGCTGGCTGGTGTGCGCATGCCAATTTTGGGGGGGTATTTTTCGGCACCCACAAAGACTAGCTGGCGCACTCCGGAAACCAGAAGAGCAGCTGGCAATGGTGCACATGCCCACAGAGGGGGCTCTGTGTGCTATCTCTGGCCCGGATGCCATAGCTTCGCCATCATGGCTGTAGGAGGTCCCTAAAATCATGAAGCCTTGTTTGTTCTCTCAGGCCTCGGGTCGAGATGGATGGGAGCCCTTGTTGGGTGTGGTCCTTGTTATTTCTGTGTCCATCTGCAGAGATTTATCGGACCCCGTCTTGGTTTGGCTTCTATTGGCTTCGTTTTTTTTTTAGGGTGATGTATTGTGACCTGCCCAGAGTTAGTTGGAGCTGGAGGCGGGGGGTGGGTGGGCAGGGGGGGGGCTCAGTTGAATTAAACAAATAAGCAAACGATTTGATTTCAAGCAAACTCACTCACTCTGTTTTGGAGAGGATTTTTGTGTCTTCAGGCCGAGTTCCAGCTGTTCCACGCACCAGTCTATCTCCCTCTTCAATTGATCCTCTGGCTGTTACATTCAGGGGGAAGGAAAACGAGAATTAGTTGAGCATGATACTGCAAGCTAACTACACATACACATACGTTTTTGTTTTTTTTTCATTTTCAAAACATATAACCAAATGTATACTATTACATAGTATACATAGCCATATTGGAGTGGTGGGTTTCAAAAAATTTTGGAACCTTTTCTGTAGGTGTGGCCTGCTTTCCGGGTCCACTGGTAGAACACCTTCTAACCGGTTCGGTAGATTTAACGAACCGGTTCTACTGAACTGGTGTGAACTGGTAGGAACCCACCTCTGCCATATTGTATTATTAAATGTTTATATCAATTCAACTTACCATCAACTTCCAAAAACAATTATTGGCTCTTCTGCTCTCCATACACCATATTTATCCATACCCATCACTTTCTTCTCCCTCTCTCTCCTCCCCCTCCCTACCTCCTTTCTTCCCTCTGTCATCCTTCTCTACTTCCCCTTCCTCTCTCCTCCTCCTCTCTTCCCTTTCCACTCCTCCTTTCCCTCCTCGTCTTCTCCCCCCCGCCCTCTCTCCTATCCCTCTCTCCTCTACTTCCCACTCTTCATCTCATTTAATGGGTGTCTTTCAGCTTTTGAGCAAGCTCCATTTTATCTTGATGGTATTTATAATTCCTTTTCAGTATACATATTTAATTTTAACATATATCTTCCTCTTTCTTTTTTTTTTAAAGAGAGAACAAAAACATATTAAACCCCCTGCCTAATTTTGGCTGAGATGTAGACCTGGTTACAATTCCCAGCTATTCTCATCATTATGTTTATACGATTATACATCCTTACACGCCCCCACTTTGTAATTCTGTCTTTAAATCTCAATATTCTTTTTTTAAAAAGAAAAATGCTTTATTTTTTTTAAAGATATGAAGATTCCATCTTTCCTTAAACAGTGTGTCGTCTGGGTCAGTGCTGGGATTCAACTTTTTTTACTACCAGTTCTGTGGGCATGGCTTGGTGGGCGTGGCATCGCTTGGTGGATGTGACAGGGAAAGAGGAAAAAAGGGACTTATGACCGGTTTTCACACTTACAACCTTCGCAGCATCCCCATGGCCACGTGATCAAAATTCATACGCTTGGCAACGGACTCATATTTACGAACGACGGCTGCAGTGCCCCGGGGTCATACGATCATTTTTTGCAGCCTTCTGATCAGCAAAGTCAATGGGGAAGCCGGATTCAATTAACCACCGGGCTACGAACTTATCGACTGCATGATTTACTTAACAACTGTGGCGAGAAAGGTCATAAAATCTTTCTCGCGAAATATCACAAGTTCTGGGACAAATGGTAGCCGATGGTTAGAAATGAGGGGAAAAGGCCGGGATGGAAAAAAACACAAGACAAGTTAAGAACTGGAAAATATGGTATTAAGAATGTGTGATAGGTAGGAATTGGATTAGTAATTATATAAAAGAAAGGCTCAATGGATAGGTAATCTGACTGACTACACATGCCTATGTAATGGATATAAAATGCAATCGTTGTAAGATCTAATCACTATATGGAAATGTCGCACTACGTCCAATGTTTTTAATGTTTATCTAATAAAAAACTTTTTTTGAAAAAAAGAGAAAGGTAAAACAGGGCAAAATTCACTTAACAAATGTCTCCCTTAACAACAGAACTTTTGGACTCAATTGGGGTCGTAAGCTGAGGACTACCTGTACTGATAAACGAATGTAGACTTAATGTGAATACTTCTGCATCATTAATTAGCAGACTACCAGTCCTTAACTCATTCCTTGTCTTATCCCACGTTCAACTTGGTCTTTACGTGCCTGTAACATCTCAGCTGGTTCAGATGTCCCTTGACCACCAAGCTTGTTGTCTCCGCCTCCTTTGTCAATGAGTGCTACTTTTGACGGTGGCGGCTTCTTCTTCTTTTTTCTCTTAGATGGTCCGCCAGCTGCTACAACCGATTCTTCTGCGGCAACCTCTGTTGAAGCTGTGTGCCAATGATTTAAAAAAAAAAAAAAAACTTTAGTCCTTTGCTATTTTTAATCGATAACATTAGATTCATATTACTTTGCATCTCTTTCGCCTACCTGAAAATTGTTTACCAAGGGAAAGAAGTATTTTTTTTATTCTGTGCAATTATTGTTGTATAATTAATGCATTACAGGTAGCCCTCATTGAGTGCCCACTCGCTTAACAACTTATGACGGTGCTGAACTAAGGGGAGTTAGCAATAGCACTCATTTTACCGACCTCGCAAGGATGGAAGGCTGAGTCAATCTTGAGCCAGCCAGGATCGAACTGTAGGCAGTTGGCAGCCTGCAAAAGTAGCCAGAAAGCCACCTCAATTTTAACAGCATCTGTACAAGTATAGTCTGAAATGTAACACCACAAACACTATATATTGTCTGTACTGTTTGCTGTTTGCTGCACGGAGGAAAATTGCTGGGAGCCAGAGGCAGATTTGTTTTCCCTTGTTTTCCTCCCCAAAACCTAGGTGTGTCTTATACTTTGGAGTGTTTTATACTCCGAAAAATACAGTAATTAAAACTTAGTGGTCCCCGTACCTACTTGGGTGGCTTCCAATCTTGGTACCTCTTGCATAGGATGTTCTTTGCTGCGTCTGCTTACAGAGTCCTTCCCATCATTTCTATCAGATGGTGAAGAGGCTGATCGCTCTGTTGTCACCACAGTTTTTTGGGATGAGATGTCTCTCTCTGGAGCTGCTTCTGCTGAAGCTGCGCAGCCAGGATCCACGGCATCACCTGAAGGCGAGGAAGCATCTGGGATGGTGAAATTGAAAGCAAAGCCGGGCTGCTGTGTTCCGGTGGAGAAGTCCAGCATCCTAGTGGGACCGTTACCAGTAGACTGTTCTCTGGAGCCATCCAACCCATGTTCTTCTGCCGTGATTCTATCCATTTCTTCTGTGGTTCTTTCGGGCAGGACGAAGTTAAATTGGAAGCCATTGTCTGACGATGTAAGCAATGAAGTGGATGCTGCAGAAGGGCTGTCGGATTGCTGCTTCCTGTACACCACGCTGCCCAAAGGAAGGCTGTTTCCTTGTTGAATTTCTACCTGCCCGGGCGTCACACCTGCAGGTCAGAAACAGAAACATGGACACCCCCACTGAATTACCAAAGCACGCTCAACCCATCGCACCAAATTACAGAACCTTTTAAAGAATAAAAGCTACATTTTATATGTCACTAGCCGATAACCCGGGTGTTTATTTATAGGGGGAAAATGTCCAGACCAAACATAATTTCTCATGTCGGATTTTCCCTCTTACCAGAGGGAGTCTCCTTGTGGAGTACTATGAAACCGTTACCATGGCTGCTCCACTGCGCTCTACAGAAGCCATTTTACGGCAGTACAGTAGAAGCCATTTTAAGGCACAACAGGCTGTATCTTAACAGAACACACATCTCTAGGGGTGTTAAGGATGTCTTACCCCCACAGTATTTTTTTCCAGAGAGTAACTCATCTGTATACCAAGTTTGGTTGAAACTGCTCATTTAAGGGGCATAGCAAGTCGATGAGCCCCATTAGAGTCACATGTTGATGTCTACCTGTATTTGCCTGCTTCTCTAATGGAAGTTCAAGCTCCCATGTTAACAGCAGCAAAAACAAGCAACCCAAGGCTTCAGCAGACAGAAGAAGCCAGCAACAGCCTTACAGTATAGGGTATATTCCTTCCAGATTATCAATGCCTGAAGCTTTTGCAGAACTTTCCTCCTCTGCTTCCTTATCTGTCTGTTCTGTTCACATGGGCTGACTGCCTCCATTTAGCAATAGCAATAGCAGTTAGACTTATATACCGCTTCATAGGGCTTTCAGCCCTCTCTAAGTGGTTTACAGAGTCAGCATATCGCCCCCACAGTCTGGGTCCTCATTTCACCCACCTCGGAAGGATGGAAGGCTGAGTCAACCTTTGAGCCGGTGAGATTTGAACTGCTGAACTGCAGATAACAGTCAGCTGAAGTGGCCTGCAGTACTGCACCCTAACCACTGCGCCATCTCGGCTCTTTTGAAAGCCACATCCCTAGCTGCTAATGCAGTGGCTGAATCTCAGAGAAGACAAGGCCAGCTGTCAGTTAAGGCAAGTGCAGAATGGATGTTTCATCAAAAGAAAAACCGAAGGGCTCACTTCGACTGAAGCGATTTCCATCCGTTTTCCCCCCCCCAGCAGTCTCAACCGATGTCCATCTTTGCTCCCTAATGTTCATGAAAGGAACGGGATTCTACACTTGTCTTTTGCAGCTGGCCCCCTTTGCTTAATCTTGTCTGAGCTGGTGCATTTCCAGTTGTTGAGCTTAAGATCCTTCGTCATCCGCCAGCATGGCCGCAGACAGCAGAAATGAAAGCTGTAAATCATAATGTGAGGAAGGTGGCCTCAAGTTACAGAAGGCTGCTCCAGCTGACTCTGCAACAGCTGCGAGGGGCTTCTAAATAGCATGATAAACTGGATGACAGTGTCTCGCTATGGGGGCATTTCATTCTGTAACTTGGGGCTCTTGGTTAGGGACCATGAAATAAAATTCCTTATACCACCAGGCTTGAAATTTTAGGCCTGGATAACATTGAACTATGCAGTCTACATTCCGACCTAAGCTTAATACACAAGATTATCCGCCATAACGTCCTACCTGTCAGTGACTGCTTTAACTTCAACCACAACAACACAAGGGCTATCAATAGATACAAACTAAATAGAATCCACTCTAATCTTGATTGCAGAAAATACGACTTCAGCAATAGAGTAGTAAATGTCTGGAACACTTTACCAGATCCTGTTGTTAGTTCCCCTAACCCCCATAAGAGCCGAGGTGGCGCAGTGGTTAGGGTGCAGTACTGCAGGCCACTTCAGTTGACTGCTATCTGCAGTTCAGCGGTTCAAATCTCACCGGCTCAAGGTTGACTCAGCCTTCCATCCTTCCAAGGAGGGTGAAATGAGGACCCAGAATGTGGGGGCGATATGCTGACTCTGTAAACCGCTTAGAGAGGGCTGAAAGCCCTATGAAGCGGTATATAAGTCTAACTGCTGCTGCTACTACTACTACTACTACTACTATATCCCCCCCCCCCCGCCTGCCCATGCCATTCTGCTGAACACTTAATTCCTACAGCACTGTTTTAGGCCTCAATATTTACCAATGTAGCAGGCTACATGGCTATTATCCTTCTCGTCTTCTAATCTTTCTCATCTTCTGGTTTTGGTGTCTTATGATTAATGATTGTAACTATGATCTATGTTATATGACCTATCATTTTGTTGCTTGTATGTACACTGAGAACATATGCACTGGAAGTAAATTATTTGTGTGCGAATCACACTTGGCCAATAAAGAATTCTGTTCTGTTCTGTTCTATTATACGTTATGTTACTCTACTTGGAGAGGGCTGAAAGCCCTATGAAGCGGTATATAAGTCTAACTGCTATTGCTATACCTTTAAACTCAAACTGTCTACCATGGACCTTACATGTTTCTTTAGAGGTCCCTTAGGGGGCAGGCATAAGCACACCAGCGTGCCTACCGTTCCCATTTATATGTACTCATTTTATGTGCTTATGGCTGTTTTGTTAGCTTATATTCATTTATTTGTGCCATTTTTTCATGTGTCCATGTCTATACTGATATTTGCTTCCTTGTATTTGTTGACAAACAAACAAATGTTGTTTGGATCTAGGACAAAGATGAGCAACTTTCAGGCGGTTGCAACTTCTACCAGCAGAGATCCTGTACGAGTGATCTCTCCTCAAGCCAAAGGAACCTTTCTCTGCCCTCACAGCACACCAGATTAAAAAGAGGAAAGGAGAGGAAAAGAAAGCAAGACTTTTTAAAGGGAAGGATCATTGACATGCGGGAGGCATGACAAACCCATATAGGTGATGGCTATAGCAAGTTAAGAACCAAAAGACATGGACCCTGAAGACACAGATAAACCTCTAGTGCAGGGGTCATCAACCCACAGCTCTGTGGCTCTTTCATCCCTCTGTTGTGGCTCCCTGTTGCCGCAACAATTTTGGGAGAAGCTTCTGGTTGGGAGGGGGGGAAACACAGTGTGCCAGGAGGAGACTCTAGGGCAAGGGGCGGGTTTTCCGGCTTTGGGTTAGGACAGGTAGAGGAAAAAGGATGCCACACTAGGAGGAGACTATGGTGGGGAAACCGGGCTTCTGGTTGGCTCCAGAATTCTGGTTAGGACCTTTGTGGCTCTTTGAGTGTTTAAGGTTGCCAAACCCTGCTCTAGTGGCCTCAAGGACTCCTTAAAAGAATGCAAATGACCAGCTGTCCACAAGGGATATATATCCTTCCATTCCCCACCATCCAGTCAGAGCTGAAGAAGCTTCTTGGATGAGAAGCAAAACCTCTTCAACAGAAAAAGGAAGTCCAGTTGTCTCCTGAAAAATCACCTTTGGGACAACCATGACCTGGATGACTAAGAATCTCCATACACATGGAGGAAAGTGTTAGGAATATAATTCTAACGGTTGGGTTGGCAATATATAAATCATGTAACAATGCTATACCTGTTTCTTTAAATCATACTGTAAAATGTGATTGGTTGCTGTTTTCCTCAATCAGCCATAAGAGGGAGCCAGAATGATTGTTAGCTCTCCGTTCAGTAGATGCTGGGCTGATCTAATCTGAGTGTTTTTTGGAAGCTGGCTGTTAGAAAGTGCCGTGAGCTATTGTAAGTTTTGCTTACAATTGTTGTTAGCAAATTTTGTGTAGCAGACTGTTTATATGATACTGGACTATGTTATTTGGATTATCCCTTAACTGAAAGACATTGATGACTGACTGTCTTATCTGTGTATGACTTTGACTGTTTGATGGACTCTGATACCTCTATTTCCACGAAAGTAAAAGCCTATTTAAACTGCAGTGTCTCTGTATGCTGGTTTGTGTGTTCTCCAACACAACTCTCACAATGCTTCGCTGAACGTATTCGCTCTCCCAACAGGGATCTTACCTAACAGAAAGAATTGGGAGAAGTAGCATGAGTGAGTGACTGACACAAAAGGCAAGACCTGACAGCTCACCAGCTTTAGCTGTTCTCTTGTTTTCTTCAGCCATTTTGAGACGGTAATCTCCAAAGACATGGTGCATCATTTGCCGCTTCTTCACAAGGGGAGCTTTGCGGGAGCGCAATACTCTAAGGATGTGCCGTGTTTCATCGGCTGCTCTCGGAGATGAAGAATGTAAAAGTTATTCATGTCATGGCATTACAAGTAGTCCTTGAATTTTGACTAGTCACTTAGCAAATGTTTGACTCCTCGGAGTAAATTACAACCCCCGTTTTGAAGTTCCAATGGCTATCCCCCCTTGTGGTCATATATAATTGCATTTTGGATACTTTTCAACCAATCCACATTTACGGCCATTTGCAGTGTCCCATTGTCATGGGACCATAATTTACAGTTTCTGCCAGAAAAATGGCATTAATTTCCTGTGCCTGTGCAGGGTTTCCCAACCTCAGCAACTTATGTATGGAGTTCAACTTCCAAAATTCCTAAGTCAGCCTACTGGGTAGAGAATTCTGGGTGTTGATGTCATTTAGAAATCTTAGAAATGCTGAGGTTGAGAAACACTGCATGGTTTCAAATGGGTCCACTAGAAGAGGCTTTATTATTTACAACCTACCTTGTTTTGGAGTTGGGTTAAGGCGCAAAAGGCCAGTCTCCAGTTGAGTGATGCACCATTCCAGTTCATCCTGAAATGTTGGTTTGGGAGCCTGGATCAATGGAAAATGTACACGCATTAAGGGCCGGTTTTTAAAAAAAAGGGATTTGCACATGCCTGCGTGCAAAACTTAAATAACCTTTAAATCCCAATAGTGTTGGTTGGTTGTAGCAAAATTGCTGTGCTTGCTAATATTCATTGCCCTACAGAGTAATTAAAATTGCAGGAGTCTTAATGTTTAGACAGTTAGCTATTTCTGGAACTTTTATACTGCTTTAATCTTAAGCAAATCAAAGCAGTTTGCCACATCTGTTGCCATAAGGAATTCACACCTTACCTCTTCCATTAAGAAAGTTTGCACTTGTTCACGTAAAATCTTGTTATTTTCTCTCCCATTTGCCTAGTAATACAAGGTGAAACAAGAACATTATCATGAAATCTCCACACACACACACCCCGCCCCATGCCCAACAATGTTTGCTACATAACTGATAAACATTTCTGGGAGTGACATTGTTTTATATTGTGTGGATAGCTTTACAAAGTTCTCTTAAGATTTTTTTTTCTATTCCATTTTTCCTTTACGTTAATAACATTGCAGTATGTCATTATGACCAAAATATTAAAACTCTCAGGTAAAACTCTCAGATTTCTTTAAAATTTGTTTTCTTATAAACCAACACACTTCATTGCTAAACATGATCTGATTACATACATACATACATACATACATACATACATACATACATACATACATACATACCGTATTATGAACTGCCCAGAGTCATTGGAGTCAGGTGGCATCAAATCAAACCAAATTATAAACAAAGAAATGACAGGAGGCTCCAGAATGACTTTACTGAGAGCATCAAGTCATTGAAACAGCAGAAAATGAGCAATAAGAAACAAAGGAATCTACCTAGTTCCAGATACTCCGTTTATTTAGACTATCAAGAATTTTGGGGGTCAATTTAGTGCAGTGGGGAAGGAGACTGTGAGTTCTTGTCAGACCTTAGGCATAAAAACCCAGCTGGGTGACTTTGGGCCAATTCACCTCAAAAGATTGTTGTTCTGGGGAAAAACAGCAGTCTTGAATTAACTAAAATATATTTAAATCTACTTATATAAATATATTTATAAATATATTAAAATCTAATCATTTTAATATGCCTTTGGGTCCAGTATTTATGTTTTTAATTGTACGCTGCCCAGAGTCTGTGACTTGACTGGTTTGTAAATTTGATACATAATAAAAAATTACATATGCATACTTTTTTTTTGCAAGAAAACGGAGCTTATTCTCAACACAAATACATTTTTGTTCCAGGGCAATGTCATACCTCTATTTGCAGTTCTCTATCAGGTCGCTAAAATGCAAACAGAAAAGGTTCCACTTTAAAATTAATCAGAGTTTGCAAACAGAATTCCTAACCACCACCATCCTCCCGTATTAATAATAAAAGAGAAGGAGAAGTAGTAGTAGTAGTAGTAGTAGTAGTAGTAGTAGTAGTAGTAGTAGTAAGTACGAAGTTAAGGGAGGACCGAGAAGTAAAACAGTGGTTTGCTAATATAAACCTAATCTCAAATCATGCATCTGTCGCCCTAAAACAGGGAACCGGCCTGTCGGGCTCTTAATAATCTGTATTTATTGGAAACTGAAATTAAAAGCACGCAAAAACTTCCCGACTCCAGATCTCATGCCCGACCAGGCCGCGCTCCGTTGCCCCTCTCCCCTTAAAGTTACAGAGATTCCTCCACCCTCACTCCACTTCGGACCAATCTGCTGCGAAAGGCGCTGGGGCCGAAGTCCAGTTTCTTAATTTAACTTTCATGTAAGTTACTCCATTGGGATCCCACCGCAAGCACGAGCAAGGCGGGCCCGGTCCGTCGCTGGACTGCTTCCCCTGTCGCTCCGGAAAAATCAGTTCCGCCCGGAAGTCGTCCCTCCCTCTGATTGGCTGGCAGGTCAGTTGTAGTTTTGCCCGCAATGAGCTTACCCCCAATGAATGGATAGCCTCTCATACAGTTCTGGAAAGGGCTTGATGTATTACTGAAAACTACTAGTACATTTTCTGATCACTATCTTCACAATGAGGCTGCATGGGGTCCACAGAACATTGCTGCCCAAACTACCATTTTTCCAAATATTACATTGTAAAATAATTTTGCAATCTGGGCAAGGAAGAGCAGGTAACTGGTTTTTCTTGTTTTTTTTCCTTTTGAAGATGTTTTGCTTCTCACCCAAGAAGCTTCTTCATCTCTGACAGGATGGCGAGGAGATCCTGTCAAAACTGAAGAAGCTTCTTGGATGAGAAGCGAAACGTCTTCAAAAGAAGAGAGACTTCAAAACGTCCAGTTGCCCCCTGAAAAAGCACTTTTGGTACAACCATGACTTGGATGACTGAGAATCTCTTGCAATAGGACTTCAAGGGGGTTTAGACTAGAATTCCTATTCTCCACAGCCTGGGAATGTTTTGTTTAAGCTGCCCAAGTCTCCTTGGAAAGTTGGTTTTTCCATTCATTTTTTTTTCTTAACTTGTGAAAGGGTAAATTTTTGCATTCACTTCTTTCATAAATGATCCAGTGTTGGGATTGTTCTCCCCACCCCTTTTTCCCCTCTAATGTTGGGAAAGGTAGAAGGAAAGAGAGAAGGAGAGGATCAGCAGTAAGGGGGGTGCACTCAGCTACAGTAGGGATTAGGCAATGTTGGAAGATCTGAAGGGCCAGGTTAGACAGTGATCATTCTGTAGAAAGTCTACCTACCTAGTCGCTAGCAGTTAAAAATTACTTGATCGCACTAATCAAACAATCAAAATCATCCCAGCAAATAGATTTGGTGAAAGTTTTAAATTCACAGCATGTCAAAAAGAAGGAAAAAACATGGCATGCAATGAAGCCCAAGATTCCTTCTGTAAAAGGAACAACACTGATTTCCCACCTTTGAATATATCCTTCTTTGCCAAAAACAGGTTGGACCACATCTCCCATCATTCCCAGCCAACTGTGTTATTGAGTGATCATGGGTCTTGTGAGCCATCGACTTGCAGGAGAATAAAGTAGACATTGTCGGCATCCATACATTTGGCTCAATGTGCAGTGTGAAGCTAGGCATGTTGTGCAAACTGAGGTCATTTGCTGATAGAATCTCCCTTCTCCAAATGCTGCATGCTCTTAAAAGCAATGAATTTTTGGATGTCTCTGGGTAAATTTCAGAAGATTCTTAATCTTGGACAGGAAAAATATTATCTTTATTTCTACAAACCTTTTAACTGAAATATAGCTTTAGAGTATATGAGCAGCGGTGGTGCAGTGGTTAGAGTGCAGTACTGCGGGCTACTTCTGCTGATTACCAGATTAACTGCCAGCAGTTCGGCAAATCGAATCTCACCAGGCTCAAGGTTGACCCATCCTCCCATCCTTCCGAGGGGGGTAAAAAGAGGACCCAGATTCTTGGGGGCAACATGCTGACTCTGTAAACCGCTTAGAGAGGGCTGGAAAAGCACTATGAAGCGGTATATAAGTCTAAGTGTCATTGATATAGTGCTATATAGGTAAGTATGGCCTCCAGATCTGAAAAATCTTCGTTCAAATCAATGAATCTCACTATCTAAAATTATTATACCCTTAAAGAGCTGAGGTGGCGCAGTGGTTAAATGCAGCACTGCAGGCTACTTCAGCTGACTGCAGTTCGGCTGTTCAAATCTCACTGGCTCAGGGTTGACTCAGCCTTCCATCCTTCCGAGGTGGGTAAAATGAGGACCCGGATTGTTGTTGGGGGCAATATGCTGACTCTGTAAACCGCTTAGAGGGGGCTGGAAGCCCTATGAAGCGGTATATAAGTCTAACTGCTATTGCTATTAAAAGGCATATTGCCACTGTTGATTTCTCATCTCCCCCTTGGGTGGTTGAGAATTCAAACCTTGGTAGCAACAGATATTTCTCTCCTAGGTTGTGGCATCAGGAAGGGCATCTGGCCAGTAAATGCTCAGCTTCATCTATTCACCCCAAATTTACCCCAAATTAAAGGATTACAAGGTTGTTGTACAAAGGGAGTTTTTTATGTATATATTCTGTATGTATTTCTTTCAGGTGGAATTTGGGAGCCATTAAAAAATATTGAACTTATTTTAGGGGGGTTCATTAATTTATCTGGAATATTATAAAGTTTCCTGCTTGATCAGAAGGTGGACTAGAAGACCTCCAAAGTCCCTTCCAACTCTTGTTATTCTGTATTCTCGACCTTTCCAGCTCAACATGAAATAAAACCATATTACAGATTTCAGCAATTGTGGTCAGAAATGGCTCCCAGGCTCTCAAAGAAATGATTTTTACAGGATACACATTTTGCCTTGGGGTTTAATGTCACCCCAGATTTTTCAGCTCAGACAAATCCAGTCAGGTGTAACAGTGCTGTATAGAGTTGGCTTTAAATGGGATCAAAGAAGATGACCCCCTTTCCCAAAGCACCATCCAAAGGTTAAAGAGGTTGCACTGAAAAACAAAGAATGAGGCACTCTGGGAAAAAAATGGCTGCTGCTTTGCAGTAGCAGTAAATCTCTTGATAGAACAGTGAGGAAAGTCCCTGTCAAGTTCTGGAAGGAATCCCTCATATCTGTGGGATGGCTACCTGAATCAAGTCGAGACGGAAAGTTCTACCATCCTCCATAGGAAGGAGGGCAGCCAATGCTACGGTTTGAGCAGGACTTTTCAAAGACAGTCTGTGGAGACAAATGAGGCAAACCACGAGGCTTTAAGGTGGAAATGCAGCTGTGGGCCACTCTGAGTCCCCCTCGGCCTTCAGCCCGAAGCACTGCTCATCCAGCTCGGCACAACTTCAGATGATGAAGTTGCTTTGTCTCCAAACCTCTTCGCCGGCAATATAAGTGGCCTGTACATGGAGAGTATCATCCAGCAGCACAAAATCTGTAGGAAAAAGAAAATGATGCCTTTCACCCCAGGTCTGGTTGATAGGAATTTGAGGAGTTGGTATACAACTCATTCAGGCACTACAATATTGTTGCAGCCCGCCGGCTGCCAGTAGAGCTGGCAGCAGAGTTGGACAGGGAGGAGGTTGGGGAGGAACATGGGCCAGTCCTGGGGGCAGAGGAAAGCTCAGACGAGGGCTCTGCATCGGAGGCAGAGAGGGGAGCTAGACAGCAGTGAGGCAGAGGAACAGCTGGAGCCTGTTCCCAGTGTGTGCATGTGCAGAGCTGCCA